CGAAAATGGCCATGGATCCATATCCTTTCATTCTCAACGGCCAATACATCAAAGAAGGGGAAAACTTCCCATGATATGAATTCCCTGAGCCTTTCGTAGACAATGGGAAGCGTGAGCTAGGTTTCGAGATGTTCCTTGACTGTGATTTCGTTGACGAAGGCGATGATTTCTTCACAATTGAGAAACCAGCTAGTCCAAGCTCTGATGATATGAACATTAATCTTCTTATTGGACTAGAAAAGAATGAACCTAAGCCTGTCTGCAATGATGATTCTAAGCTCATTCAAGCTGTCATATCAAGCAAAGATTTTGACCTCTCTGAGTTAATCGTCCTGGCTGATGATGTTTCAAAAGGGATGGCGCAAGACGATGAAGATCACTACGCCAAGTGGAGAGAAGTTGGACGTGACCGCTGGCGAAGGTCCTATGTTTGCTGAATCTAAATCGTCTGGGTTTGAGTTCGAGTCTGAGTCTGTAGACGGGTCTTTAGGATCTAAGGCCGACCCCCTTTCTGCCATAGAGATGTAGTTCCCCTTAATGATGAGTCTCTTGTTCAGTCTCCTCTATCTATCCCAAATAATTCCGGCGAGGTCGTAGCTGACCTTTCCCTCCTTGATGTAATGACCAATGAATTCAAAAAAATGAGTACATGTGCTTACGACGCGTGCCATTCCCCTAACCCTGATCAATTTTGCTTTGCTAATGATAAAAATGACAAAAAAATAATAAAAGCAATGGAAGAACACGAAAATAAAACAACAATCATCGAAGATACAGAAGCAATTATTATTTCCAATGATACGACTATCAAAGAAGTAAAAATTAGATTAATACTAAGTCAAGACGGACGCAATTAGCTAACTAACGTGCTTAGTGAATTTGTTGATGTATTTGCTTGGTCATACCAAGATATGCCAGGAATTGACAGGGATATAGCTCAGCATACGATACCACTCATTCCAGGTATGAAGTCTGTTAAACAAAAGCTGCGCCGTATGAAACCAGATGTGGCTCTCAAAATCAAGGAAGAAATCAGAAAGAAATTGGCTGCAGGTTTCATCAAAGTATCCAAGTACCCAGAATGGATAGCTAATGTGGTTCCAGTTTCGAAGAAGGATGGAAGGGTCATAATGTGTGTTAATTACAGGGATCTCAACAAGGCAAGCCGGAAAGATGGGTTCCCTCTACCTCACATTGACATTCTGGTCGATAACACAGCAAACCATGCACTCCTATTATTTATTGACGGCTACGCTAGACATAATCAAGTATTAATGGCCGAGGAAGACATAGAGAAAACCACATTCATCACACAATGGGGTACATATTGCTATACGGTAATGCCATTCGGGTTGAAAAACGTGGGTGCCACCTACCAAAGAGCAGCCACATCATTATTACATGATATGATGCATAAAGAGGTGGAGGTGTATGTTGACGATATGATCATCAAATCTAAAGATCGGCCAGGCCACATCATTGCACTTCGCAAATTCTTTGAAAGACGCCGCAAATATAGTATGAGGTTGAATCCAACAAAATGTGCATTCGGAGTTACATCTGGCAAGTTACTTGGCTATGTGATCAGTTCTCGAGGAATTAAATTGATCCCATAAAAGTCAAAACAATCATGGCCATGCCACCACCCAAGATTGAGAAGGAAATACGAGGTTTTATAGGAAGATTGCAATACACAAGTAGGTTCATATCTAAGCTAATTGCAATCTGTGAACCTATATTCAAGAAGCTCAAGAAGAACGTTCCAGTTACATGAGATGATGATTGTCAAAACGTTTTCTATAAGATCAAGGAATACTTGGCAAACCCACCCATTCTAGCACCAGCAATGCCTGACTTTCCTCTTTGACTCTACCTTACTGTCACAAGAGAAACAATGGGGGCAATGCTAGCACAGGAAATCGAAAGTAAGGAAAATGCAATCTACTACTTGAGTAAAAAGCTTTAGGGTTATGAAACCAGGTACACACCACTTAAGAGGTCGTTTCTTGCATTCGTGTGGGCTGCACAGAAATTAAGACATTACATGCTCACTCATACAATGCATGTTGTATCCAAGATGGTCCCTCTCAAGTATTTGTTCAAAAAAGCAACACTCAATGGTAGATTATCAAAGTGGATAGTTAACCTTGCTCAGTTTGACTTAAAATTCGTACCACAAAAGGCTATTAAAGGTTCTGCGGTTTTTGACTTCCTAGCGGATTTCCCTCTAGAAGCAGTTGAAAAAGAAGTAGAAGAGTTTGAATTCCCTGATGAAGATCTACTCATGACCGAAGATGATAGCTGGACGCTCTATTTCGATGGAGCTTCAAACCAAAAGGGTTGTGGTATGGGAGTCTTGCTCGTATAACCCAACGAAGAACACATTCCGATTTCCATGAAGCTCGACTTTGATGTCACCAACAATGCTGCAGAATATGAAGCATGCATCTCGGAATTGGAAACAGCTGTGGCCCTTGGAATTTAGAAACTCAGAATCTACGGCGACTCGTCACTAATCATCAACCAGATTGCCAAAAGGTGGAAGGTGAGACGTGAAAGTCTCGCTACGTATCAAGCTCATTTGGAAACTCTCACAGAGCAACTAGATGAAGTGGAATATACGTACTTGCCTAGAGAAGAAAAACAGTTTGCCAACGCGCTGCCTAAACTTGCATCAATGGCGCAAATTCCAACAGATACAATCAAAATGCCATTGACCATAGAAAGAAGATATGAGCCGCCTTATGTTCACGCACTTGATTATGAACAAGAAGCACAAGAAGAAGATGAAGAGCCATGGTATACAGCTATCCGTAATTACATGACGAAGAGAAAATACCCTCCTAATACTAATAAAAGGGCACGCCGTGCTTTGAGGCTCCTGGCCTCACAGTATGTGCTCATCAGAGGAGAAATCCACAAGAGGACCGCTCAAGGGAGAAATCTCTTATGCATAGCGAAGAGTGAAGCGCCCAAAACCATGGAAAACCTCCATGCCGGAATATGTGGAACGCATATGAATGCTAAAAATGTTAGTCCAAAAGATTCAACGACAAGGTTATTATTGGACTGCCATGGAGAGAGACTGTCACGAATACGTCAAAAAATGTATGAAGTGTCAAGTCTACGCAAATTTACAGCACGTTCCACCTTTGCTTCTCTATACATATACTTCTCCATGGCCTTTCTCTACTTGGGGTATCGACATCATTGGAAAGATAACGCCACCAGGACAAGGGGGACATGAGTTCATCCTTGTAGCAATCGACTACTTCACCAAATGGGTCGAAGCTGCCTCATATGCTAAGCTAACACCAAAACATGTAGCTAAATTCACTGAGAAAAATATCATATGCCGCTATGGGGTACCTCATGAGATGATCAGTGATAATAGAATTCATTTCCAAGCCGAGTGCGCAAAACTATTAAAGAAATATCATATCAAGCATCACAGATCATCACCCTACAGGCCACAAACAAATAGTGCGGTTGAATCGGCCAACAAGAATGTGAAAACTATCATCGAAAATATGACGAAAAATTACAAAGATTGGCCAAGTAAGCTACATTTTTCCCTTTGGGGTTATCGAACCTATATTCATACATCATCGGGGGCTACCCCTTTCTCTTTGGTCTATGGAGAAGAATTTGTACAACCAATAGAGCTCGAAATCCCTTCTCTCCGAATCGTGTTGGAAAGCCAACTAGATAAAGTCGATTGGATTAGAGCAAGATATGATGAACTAGTCTTACTTGACGAATAACGCTAGGCAGCTTTGCATCATGTCCAAACCTACCAACAGTGTATGGCAAGACATTTCAATAAAAAATTCAAGACTAGGAACATCAAGGACCTGCAACGTTTTTACCTGCAAAAGTACTAGAGAGCCCTTCTTGATGGCTTTCTGGTCAACTTTTGCTTCGTCAAGGCCATGCAAATTTTCTCCAAGGCAAGTAGGCATAGGAGATCTTCCAAATTCAACATGTTCAAGGACAAACGCTAAACAGGCATGTCCTATCCTACCGTTTGCAAATAGAAGCTTGCTAAACATGCAAAAAATATAAGCCCTTCTACGGTATACATGATAAGACTTAGAGACAGGATGATTGAAATACAAATTTGCAAGCTTTTCTAGATCTACTTCATTACCACACACAATTTTATTTAAATCAGGATCTGTCAGATTCCTGGTAGGAAAACCAAAGATGGCACTGAATTTCTCCGGCAGGGGACAGATTTCATCATAATCAAATTTGAAATAATGAGTTTCTAGACTCCAATAATCTAAAGCCGCCCTAAGAAAATCATGTTCAATTGCTACTTGCATTAAGGCTAATAAGCCTCTGAAATGAAACAATTTCAGCTCTCTTTTGTCCGCATTAGTCAAAGAATAATACCAGTCACGCAATGTATTGTCAAAGTTCTGAGACATTATTATTAAAATATGAAATTCTAATTTTATGTTTTGTAATTATGCATATCACGAACAAACTGTACCTATTTTATATCAAAAATGCTCAGAAACATTCAAAATCTATCTTTCTATGCGCACAAACTACACCACTACCGAATATGTGCACCGTGACACGGGAAATCCCACCGTGTCACGGGAATTTGTGCCGCGACACGGCATGTTTTGTCGTGACACGGTATATACTGTCGTGTCGCGGTGGCCACGCAATTTCATATTTTTATCCTTTTCCTATTTTTATCCGAATTTTTATTCACCGTTTATCTTCTAATCTTGTTTTTCGAGAGTTTCATTCCTAATAAAATTCTCTATTTATTTTATTTTTTATTTTTTTATTTTATCTTTATTTTAATTTTAAATTTATTTTTTTTTTATTTTAGGGAAGTTGTAAAACTTGTCCCATTTTCATTTTTATTTCTTTTTCTTTTTAGGAAATTGCAAAATTTGTCCCATTTTTATTTTTATTTTGGGGAAGTTGTAACACTTGTCCCGTTTTCATTTTTATTTCTTTATCTTTTTGGGGAAATTGCAAAATTTGTCCCATTTTTCATTTCCTTTTTCTTTTAGGGAAGGTCGGTACCCTCACTTACGATTTTTTCGCGTAATTAATAAATACACAATCACACAGAATGAGTCTCAAGCACACACTAATACACACATTAATAAATGCATAAACTTTGAATAAAATATACAATGTGAGTCATGATGCATAAACAGTGTCAAGTATCATCAATCAAAGTATATAATAAAAAACCTCGGTTAAAAATCCAAGAAGACTTAAGATGAGGGTCATCTCGAGCCTGCGAATACGGGAACGGCGGACTAAAGAGTCCCTCCATCATCCAGGTACGAGGAGTAGTATCCCTACTAGTCCCTATAGCTCCAATAGAAGACAAACTCAAAGCAGGACCTATCTAGCTGGGAAACGACGTAGGATGACTCCAAGAGGTAGGAAGCGTCGGTGGAGGCATCAGCCTAGACAATGGAACTGAAAATAAGCCCTGCACCGGTGGAGGCAGCGCCCTAGAAAATGGAACTGAGTATAAATCCTGGTCCACGGGAGTAAAGAATGGCCTGAACTCAGGAAGGGAAGATGAAGGCCGCTGCCACTAACCCTGAAAGTGCTGGAATGTAGGGCTGAGCAAAACTACCCGAAAAACCATAAACCCGAAAAACTGATTTGTAACCGTTCCGAAAATTAGGGTACCCAATCCGATAACCATAACGGTTTGGGTACCCGTTCCGATAATTTGTAATCGGGTATGGTTATGGTTATCATTTTAAAATTAACGGTTACCCGATCCGATCCGATAAGCATTTTTTTTTTTTACTTTCTTTCCCTACTTAAATCTATTAATATAAATCTAAACTTTTACTTTACTTCATAATCACATTGTAATATCAATGATTAGTTATATTATTCATAATTTGGTCAAGATCGATCATATGGTATTGTTTTTAGTTAGTTGTAAATTATCTCATAATAACTATATAATTAAGTTGAATTATCATTATTGGATATCTTATTAGGTACCCGATAACCGATCTAAAAATCCAGGTACCCGAACTTATCGGTTCCGATTATGGGTATCACTTTTAGTGATTTTGGTTATCGGGTACCCGAACTGTTAGTATTAACGGTACGGGTACCCGTCACATGCTCACCCCTATTGGAATGGGTGAGAAGATTGAGGCTGCTGCCACTAAGTCTCCTGAAACGGCTGAGAAGGCTAAGGCTGTCGCTAAGACTGTGAATGCCGACCAACCTCAAGAGATCGTCTGCGGTGACTAGGCTCCCCCTTGTCTTAGTCTCTATGCCTCAAGCGCGAGCGAGATCTCTGTCACTCCTGAAAGACACAAAATAAAAGATGTCAATAGTGCAAGATAGAACAAATGGTAAATATGGGAAAACAGGTGAATATACCTCGAGAACATCGCCAGAACCGCCCCGACAACTCGCACCACGTCGAAACTTGATGATGTAGTACTTTAAAGCGTCAACCAGCCTCATAAATCCCATCATGTCCGAGTGCATAAGCTGAGAACAAAGAAAAATCAGTAACAAGCGGTATTAAAAAGGATGAATAACGTGTCAAAAAGCTTACCGGATCAAACACATCAGGCAGAGACTCATGTGCCTGTCTAAAACTCTTTGACACATCAACAATATAATCCTCAGTAATACTGATCGGCTCCAGGTAACGGACAGATTGAGGCGGGACCACAACCTTCCCCCTATGACGAACAATCTTTTTAAAATACGATAAAAAAATCAGGTTATTTGATGGTTTAAACAGAGACTAGCGACAAAAGTCTCAAAGGAAATCATACCTCGGGAAGACAAGGCGGTGGAGCCAAAGAAGGAAGCAAGTCCTGTGAATAATTGCCCTCCATACGCACAAGCTCCTGCTAAGGAAATGTGTAGCGCTTCCCCTGTTCATCAACGTCCCAAGCAAAGTGAGTCCATCATCGAATCCGGTGGAGGCAAAGGCACCACAAAGCGGTCAATGCTGTGCTGACGAACAAAGCACTCCCCAAGATACCAAACAATGCGTGCAGTACAAACAAAAACAGTACGACACGCCGAAATCTCCAAGGCCTCTAGAAGATCAGTCATCTCATCCTAAGGGCGATACTGGATCTCAACAGCAACCTGAAAACCATAAAAAGTTGTAATGAATGCCGGAAAATAGCATCAAGGTAGAGAATAACATCCTGAAAAATCAATTCTTACACTAACAGAAGAAGTGCCTCGGCGCAGCAGCCCGCGTAGCGCAGATACGAACTCTACTCGTTACTCAACTCGGTCACGCCAGTTGGCTCCAACAGGGAAATCATGGACCGCTCCGCGACGCTGTCGAGGGGCCCATCCAGGAAAGTACTCATAGAACCACAATTGTAATGAAAAATAATCTCTAAGCACATGAGTTAAGCAGGTCAAAACAAAACAAGAAGAAGAAAGATCTTCACCTCTACGACTCTCCAAATACCGTAGACAGCAATAGGGGCCTGGTCATTCAGCTGCCTACAGCAATGACGCAGCGACAAGAGCAGATCAGCATATCCAATGCTAGCCCAACTATAGGATCCTATCTCGCCTATCCTGACCGGAGAAGGACAATAGAAAACGAGCGCACGTGAAATCCTATCATGAGAAAAAGTCCCTGAAATGAGAATCAAGATAAAGATCCGCACTCGCTGCTCAGGTTTTGTCTCAGCCATGTAAAATCCATGGGCAAGAACAGAAGCCAACTCTGATCTTCCGGTCTTAGGACCACCCCAAGGCACCAGCTGAGTCCTGATATGCCGAACGACCGAGCTTAACAAATCTGCTACCTCAGCCGCCCCCCAAGTGAGGTCAGGAATCTGCCGTACGACCTGCTCGGTGAAGCGTAAGCCGCTGATCATGCTAAAGTCCAGAGGGATTATTGTCATCTCCCCCCAAGCAAAGTTAAAAGTGTTGGTAGTATCCCAAAAATACTCCAACAACGCACGAACAACTGTCGAACCACAACCCTGGGGGCTTCGAAATCCTACGACCGCTGAATAGAAATCTCCTAAGCCAGCAGACTCCCACAAGGCGTTGGTGATAGGATCCCTCGTGATAATCTTGTATAGCCGGGGAATCCCACAAGTCCTTCTTCGATCAGGATCCTATCTCGCCGATCCTGACCGGAGAAGGACGATAGAAAATGAGCGCACGTGAAATCATATCATGAGAAAGTGTCCCTGAAATGAGAATCAAGATAAAGATCCGCACTCGCTGCTCAGGTTTCGTCTCAGCCATGTAAAATCCATGGGCAAGAACAGAAGACAACGCTGGTCGCCCGCTCCTAGGACCACCCCAAGGCACCAGCTGAGTCCTGATATGCTTAACGACCGGGCCTAACTATAGGGAATATTTCAAGCGTTAATCCCCTAACTTGAACCCCACTGTGATCATACACTAAAGTACGGTGGCGTCCAAAGGGAAAGAATATAGAGCAAAAGTGTCGCTAACAAGTTTTTTTAGGAACTTGTAAACTGTTCACGAGGTGATGGTTACACCCCTTAACGATCCAAGAGATCGTCAACTCCATAAGGTCTTGAACCAAATAGGGTTCGGGGATGAAGGTATAAATCCAACCTAAAAGAGATTGAACCTGCCCTAATAATAGGCCTCTACTTTATTCTGATCGTATTCATGTGCGCTTTCTGACTAACATACAATCAATAGGTTTACCCTAAACCTGTTTATCTATGTTTGTTGAATTTAATCCACAAAAAAATCTATTATTGGCGATCACTTGAATTATAATCAAATTAACCCTAAAGAAGATTATTAAATATCTTATTAAGCATGATTACAAGTACAAATTCCCTTTAAACATGCATAAAAGGTGTGATCAAGCAATAACAATAAATATCAAGCAACAAAATAATCATAATTATAATTATAATCATAACAATCATAATTAAAAATAATCATGTTAAAGCATAATAATAGCAAGATCCTAGGCATGATACTAACAAGATTAATAACAAACCCTAGCATGTCACTAAGCATATAAAATCAAAGCTTAAACCCAAACATGATAATCACATGAATAAATATTAGGAAGAACATAGGAAGTATCATAACAATCATATTTAATATTAAAGTAAACCTAGACATGATACTAGGAATATCATAATAACAACCTAAACATGATTTCTACATAATAATATCAATAAAAACATTAAAGTACTTACTTTGATGCCTCGTATCTCTTTCTAATAACAAAATACACACGTTAGTAACTTCAAGGAAAATAATAAACAAAACAATTAAATTAAATAATAATTGAAAGAGAGATTAGGGACTAAAACCCTCAGAAATTAAAACCTTTCACGTCTAGGGCGAAGGCAACTTCGAATATGGCTAGGTGTTTCTAAATCTAATGAATGCATAATTTTTATATTTGTGAGAAGGCTAGTTTAGAAAAGAGAGAGAGAGAGAGAGAGAGAGAGAAGTCAAGAGAATCTTGATGAGAGTTGGTGAAAACTGATGAAAATTGATGATTGTTGATGATTGAAAACGAAGTTTTAGGAGACTATTTATAAAGAAAATAAGCCAAAAAGATAAAATATCAAAACAAAGTTCTGACGCAAATAAAATTTGATTAGCGCCAACGCCGTCCATTGGGAACAGACGCTGACCTTAGCGCCAGGCACCAAGCGTAGCGCCAGGCGCTACAGCTGGCGTTTGGCGCTGACTCAGAAATTCACGCGTTTTCTCAAAATCAGATAGAAATTGTCGTACAGGAGGATAAAATCGTATTTTCCCTCAAAAATGTTCTTTGATTCTAATTAAAACTCTGAAAAGTCAACAAAAGTTAATTTATCAATGCTAATTGAATTAGGAATGAAAAGAACCTTCTAGAAGAATCTAGAAGACTAAAACCATTCCTAATTGCATTAGGAATGATAAATCCATATTAGGCCCTGCTCTAGATCATTGGGCCGCATATAAGGCTCAAACCGGGCCCAGTTCAGTAAATTAGCCATAACTTCCTCATTATTCATCGGAATTGGGCTTATAATATATCGTTGGAAAGGTCTTTTCAAGCCCAATCCAACTACAATACTATTGGACCAATTTCATGGAACAAACAAACTGGATTGACTGTTTTCTTAAAATGGTTTTCAAAAACAGAGAGAAGAGAAAAGAAATTGAAACTTTCCGCAACACTAAACTTTCCACACTTTCACTTCATTCGAATATGATTCTACGTGAAAGGTATTCATCACTGGGTTTGGTTTTGGGGAGACACAAATGGGTGTCTATAGAAGCCCCCACTTTGACTGAGTTTGGAGAAACGCAAGTTTCGAAAACAAAAGTCAAAGTATCGATAGGGACGGAGAATGATTCAGAACGTTCTGCGATTCTAAATCACTCTTGTAACGCCAATAGCTGCAAACTAGCGTTACTTAAACAGATAAAAGAGTTAAGAAACTCGTATCTTGCACCATCGAGCACACGTCTCTCAAAGTAACCAATTTGCTGCCGTATTACTGTTATTTTGATGACCTCCTGCCAAGAGAATGTCATCTCGCTTGAAAACTGCTACGCTTGTAAAAGCTTTGAATATTGAAGATTGCTTCGCTTGAAACGATCCTCTTCCGCTTTCATAATATTCCACGTCAAGGGGAATACTATCGAAGATTTCTTCTCTTGAAACAATCCTCAGTTGTTTGTGACAACTCTCCACAATCTAGGGAACACCATCTTGCTGTTTCGATGTTCACTCGTCTTTGAACAAAGAGCTTATTTTTTTGGATATGTTCACGCGCCTCTGAACAAAAGGCTTCTTTTAATTTTTTTAATATGTCCACGCGTCTCTGAACAATAGAGCTTCTTTATTTTTTGGATATGAACTTCTGAATGATGTGTCCACGCGTCTCTGAACAAAGAGCTTGATAATAGGATGCCCACGCGTCTCTGAGCAAAAGAGCTTGAAAGAAATGTCCACGCGTCTCTGAACAAAAGAGCTTTGATGAAAATGTCCGCGTGTCTCTAAACAAAAGAGTATTGATGAAAATGTCCACGCGTCTCTGAACAAAGAGCTTTTGATTGATATGCACACGCGTCTATGGAGCAAAAGAGCTTTGAAAATAGGATGCCCACGCGTCTCTGAGCAAAAGAGCTTGATGATATGTCCACGCGTCTCTGAACAAAAGAGCTTGAAAGGATTGTCCACGCGTCTCTAAACAATAGAGCCTAAATAATATGTCCACGCGTCTCTGAACAATAGAGCTTTGATACTTGAGCGTTTGTTGCGATAATATTCTAAAGAAAAATTTTCGAAGACCAACGCTTGTCGATCTCTAAAGCTCGCTTGAAATTTGCTTCTACTATGCCAGTACGTCGGCGGTTTGTTGCTTGTGAACCATTATGTCTGTGATAAGCCAACGCTTAGGCGTTTTAAGTTAAGTGAGACGATCTCTCGTCAGGTCGATCACTTATTGCGACTGTAATCAAACCGACTACTTAATCATGTCAAATTGGTTATAGGGGCTAACTAGCGTACCAAGGAACCCGAAATTGCTGTATAAGGTCGAAATCACCTTTCTGAGAGGCTTCGAGCTCTGTCGCTGCAGAAATACCTCTGGCGCAAAGAATTGAATTTTTCGCCAGACACTGGGATCTAGAGCCAGGCGCTAAAAAACTGTTTCTAGACACTAGATGTTTTCGTCTGGCGCTTGTAGACACCTAAAAATGTCTCCCCAAATCCAAACCCGATGATGAACAACCTTTCACCACCATTATTGGTCGGGTTGAGTATTTAATCTTCGAGTGCTTAAATTCAAAATTTCATTTCATTAACCAACCCAACTTCTAGCCCATTTCCCCAAACCATAACTTATTTTCCTCTTTTCGTGTCTTTAAACCCAAAATAATTCATTTCGTGTCCTTTAAAATCATTCATTTCGTGTCCTTTTGGTAAAAACGTTTAATCCAGTTTATTTTGGTCCATAATCTGGGTTCAATGAATAAATAGTTGGATGGGGCTTTAAAAGAGCTTTCCAACGATATATTATAAGCCCAAATCCGAGTTATAATGAATACGTTATGGCCAAAATAATAAACTGAGCCCAAACCGAACCTAAGCCCACCTTACCTACGACTCAATGATCATGTGGAGGGTCCAAATTATTTAATCTAATTCCTAAATCATCTACAGCCCACGTCCGGAGATAAGCGGACCATCTACTGCCCACGTTCGGGGACAAGCGAACTATTTACAGCCCACGTTTGGGGACAAGCGAACCAACTACAGCCCACGTCCGGGGACAAGCGGACCATCTACAGCCCACGTTCAAGGACAATCGAACCACCATCATTTCATGACGCAAGGTTCTCGATACACAGAGACTTGCAATCTCATCATCTGTCGACTTTCCTCAAGCGTGGAAAGTATTATCCGGTGGATTTCTTCAAGCATAGAAAACCGCCAAATTCCTTTGTCGGCTTTCCTCAAGCATGGAAGGCATTATCGGTGGATTTCTTCAAGCATAGAAAAACGCCAAAAATCATATGTCGACTTTCCTCAAGCATGGAAAGTGTCATCCGATAGGTTTCTTCAGGCTTAGAAAGCTACCAAACTCATCTGTCGGCTTTCCTAAAGCATGGAAAGCATTTCAACAAACGTCATCCGGTGGATTCCTTCAAGCATAGAAAAATACCAAACTCATTTGTCACCGATACACTGGTGTCAGAAAAGCATTATATCCCTTTACTCTTTCTCTGTAGAACTAACATTTTTCTGCAGGTATCGGCATATACAGAGTGATTTAGGATCGCAGAACGTCTTAAATCATTCTCCGTCCATATTGACTACTTTGACTATTGTTTTTGAAACTGTCGTTTCTACAAACTTAGTCAAAGTGGGGGATTCTGTAGACACCTAAAAATATCTCCCCAAATCTAAACCCGATGATGAACAACCTTTCACCGCCATTATTGGTCGGGTTAAGTATTTAATCTTGGAGTGCCTAAATCCATATTTCTATTTCATAAAACAACCCAACTTCTAGTCCATTTACCCAAACCATAACTTATTTTCCTCTTTTCGTGTCTTTAAACCCAAAATAACTCATTTCGTGTCCTTTAAAATCATTCATTTCGTGTCCTTTTTATAAAAACGTTTATCCACTTTATTTTGGTCCATAATCTGGGTTCAATGATTGAATAGTTGGATGGGGCTTTAAAATAGATTTCCAACGATATATTATAAGCCCAAATTCGAGTTATAACGAATAAGTTCTGGCCAAAATATTAAACTGAGCCCAAACCGAACCTAAGCCCACCTTACCTACGACACAATGATCATGTGGAGGGTCCAAATTATTTAATACAATTCCTAAACCAATTAGGATTAATTAGAAGATTCTATAAGTTTCTAGAAGATCTTGATTATCCTTTTTGAAAAGA